GGGGGGGACCTGGTTCTCCCTTCTGGGAAAACTGCCAGCTATATACTACTTCAAAAGCCAAAATATATTCTAAGATCTTTGATCAACGGTCTTAAAACATTAGGCTAATTCTTCCTTCATTTCCAGTGCGTGAGAAAGCAGAAAGGTCAGATGTGACTGGAAGTGCATGTCAATGAAGGGGCTGTGGAAGCCTTGGTGCTCCAGAAACCTCATCAAGAGCAGCCAGGCCCCGCGCTCGCTGTGCACGTTTTGTGGCCGTGTGGGCGTCGCGAAGGGGTGTCCRTAGGGCAGCACTGGCAGCTTCCTGGGAAGCTCTGGGTTCCCGGTATTTTAGACCGGTGCTTGAATCYTTTCACCCCTGTCCAGCCCAGACGCTGCCCTTGGGGCCTGTCCCTGCGGATTGGGATTCCTGAGCAATGTGGGAATGCCCTGGGAGCCCACACTGCCCGCCCGTTTGGATTGCCCATGGGGCTTTCCAATGGGAATGCTCATTTCCCGCTATTAAAATTGTATTTGGCCAAAGCGTGGCCAATATTTATGTTGCATTGAAGTGTGCAGAGTGTGCATTTGTGGAACTGGAGCTGCAGTGAGTGGCGAGAAGGGGCTGTGGGGCGGGGAGGACAAGCAGATGGTGACAGAAACCACTCTTGCATTTGCAGTTGTGCCGAGCCTGGATGACGTGGAGAGGTAGCRGTGATCAGGTCTCCTGTAACAGGGTGAAAACTGTTACAATCTGCAGTTTCTTGCTGGAACCATCAGAATACATGGAATAGTGTGTTTAGTCTCTTGTACGCTAGACCTCTGTCTTTAAATGATCACAGCTATTGCAGAGCACTGATCATATAATGATCAGCAGAAGTGTCATCATGGAGGCAAGTCCCTGAACTGTCACATAACCAAGGAAATTTTTTGTCAGTGTGAACTGTGAAATTGCTATTAACCTAAACACGTATGGAACAAAATGGTTTATTTTTAGAGTATAACATGGGAATTGTAAACATCCCATGTCAGAATGGGTACAGGCGTTCGCTTAAAACAACGGCCACAACACACAACTTAAGTGAGCCTTTGTTACTCACAATGTTATGTGCAAGGGCCTGTTTTCACCAAATTGCAGGCTCGTTTTGCATCTGCCTGGCATTGTTCTGTGCTTCCTTGCCTTTCATTCCAGAACTGGAGCCCCTATGTGCAAGGATCAAACAAGGAGCCCTTTTATCTCATGCTTTGCATTCATTATTCATTGGGCATTGTCAGTGGATTGTTACTTGGGGCTTGAATTAGAGATAATTAATCATAGGAAAGCACTTGTAATTTCACACTTTGTGAAACACCCTTGTCTCAATATAGCAGTGCTGTAGTGGCAAAATACCGTAATGCTGATTTTTTTGCCATTCAGCATCATAATTTTTAATATTTATGTTCTGTTGGTCTTTATTTTGCTTATTTGTATGCAGACTTATCTTGCAACAGTCGTGTTCATATTTTGCTGTTGAAATACTTTCTGTTGAGCTACTTTTATACAGAATTTCAAACAAGTACTTTCGTTTTATGGGTTGAGTTGCCATTTAAATGGTGAGATTAAAAAGCCCTTTATCCCTCTAATATCAAAGAGGAAATCCTGGGAAAGCGCTGGGCTTAAGAGCATGAGGAATYAAGTTGACTCCCAACTTGGCTTGTTTTGAAAATTATATTTTGAAGTTAACACTGCTATGTTCATTTGACTTCAGAAGTTGCCTTAAATTGGTAGAAATCCCTGAGTTGCATCAGGAAAGCAGCAGTATGGGAGTATTTTAGGAGATGTACCAATGTTTGCTTATCCTTCTCACCCTCCATGGTGTTTCGTATGAATTACAGTGGGAGGCAGGATACTAAACTGAACAGGCATTTTGCTTCATCTAGTTGACTGTTTCTGCATTCCTCCCTGGCAACAGAAGACTTGTTTGATGTATGTCTTGGTTTATTGTATGTTTGGGGAAAAAGCATTTCTTTTTTTTTTTTTATTTTATTTATTTATTTATTTATTTTTGTGAGGACCTTTTAAATGTCCCCTGGAGTCTCTGTAGCTTTATTTGGATAATTGTTTTAGCAGTTTTGCAGTACAAGCCAAGTAGAGTGTGGAGCCAACAAAGATTCTTATTATACTCTGTGAAAACTGACACACACAAATGTTTAATATTGCTGCTGCTTATTTTTATCTTTTCCACAGCAAACATAATTACTCTGTAGAAAAGTTAATCTTACCCTCACATATTGGGGGCAGCAATTGCTGTTTTTTCTGAAGCCGTAGTATTGCACTGCACAATTCATGTGCAATTCATGGGGGAGAAGTGCCCCCCCAACCTGAATTACCCTGTGATCCTGACCTTATAAGTGCAGCCACAAATTAGGATTAATTGTTAGTCTAATTAACGTCCTTGCAGTCTAATGAAGACGCAGACGTTGCTGTTATTGGCCAATTACAGGGATACCGACACGTGGGGCCCAGTACAGCCGCTGCCCCCAGGTCTCCCCGAAGCCGCCCCACTCGCCCTTCCCGTGTGCCGGCGTCCCCATCCCGAGCTCTTCCCTGACAGAAAGCCGTGCTCGGGGGAGCTGCTCCACACTGGGCTCGCAGCTCGTGCTGCACGTGGCTGCTTGTGGTGCCTTCTGCTGCCCTAGGGGTTCCTGATGCCCACTGCTCAGCTGCAGGGATGCCGCAGCTAAAAYGAGGTAAAAAAGCATAATTTGGGGCCCTGGCAAGCTGAGACCAAACCCGATGTGTCCTTAGGCGTTGGCTGCTGTGCCAGGATGAGGCCCGTGGCGCTGATGGCCAAGGGGGAGCTGCTGGTGGGGCTGCCCTGCGAGGCAGGGGCGGTGAGCGGAGCCTTGGCCTTGGCTTTACTGTCCCCTGCAAATGGAGCGAGTCCCTTGGCAAAGTGGCGGGCTGCTCGTGTGGGACTGGAAACGCCGCCGTGACGCCCTGGCCCCGTGTCTGCGGAAAGTCTGCCTTCCGGGGAAGGATGTACATTCTTTCCAGGTCAGRTTCTGGTCAAAATGTAGCTGAGAAAATGGAAAATTGTATATCTTGGGTCTTCAGAGCATCTTGCTTAGTGATTGTAAGCTTCACAAAGACTCAGTTTTCCCGTGTTGCATAATTCTGTTCCAATATGGATTGAAATGTTCAGTTAGCCGAATCAAAGACAGGTTTGTGACACTGCTGTATGAAGAACAGCAAAAATCTGGAGTCTTGTTTATCGAGCTTAAGCCTGGCCTTTCCCAAGAGCAGCTGTAGTCTTGGCTTGGCAGAGCCTCTTGGGCTGTTTAATAACAAACCAGAAGCACCGAGAGTGCCGGTACTCGGGAACCCCCCCCCAACAAAATGGGGTCTTTTTCTTTCCTGCAATCCCTTGATGCTAGGTATTTTTCTATTCCAATTGTAGAGTCTTCTCAAAGGAACGCACACCAGAAAAGAGAGGGAAAAAAAAAAAAAAAACCACCCAACAAAAATACAGGTATCAGTTTCTGTCCTTAATTGGAAGCAAAGCTTATGAAAAATTTGCTACTACTTTTGGCTTGTTCAGGTGCATTGGCAAATACTCCCCATGCAGATGCAGTCAACAGGCCTTTTCCCCACCTCCCTCCCATAAGGCAGAGTAGTTTAAGGGTAATAGGCTGTAGCTCCTGGCAATCAGAAGGATTTTTGTGCCTGTTTCCATGTCCCCATCCAGCTGGGACTCAGGATGGGAAATTTGTCCATTTTGGGGACTGTGATTCAAGGGGCTTTGTAAAATCCTGTTCATTTTATGAGCACAACTGATGAGTGAGATGTATCGCAGTGCCACTTGGAGCGATTGGGAGGCTGGAAAGAAAGATGACCAGAGATGCCTTAAGCATAAAAAGCTGCATGAGTCAAGGCAGCAGGTTAGAAATAWGGGCTCAGGTAAGCAGATTGAGGAACCCAAATTGCTTCTTGGCTCGCTAAAGAGAAAGACATGGAAAAGTGAGGGAATGGGGGATGACAACCAAGTTTTCATTCCAAGAGAGTGCAAAAATACAGCTGTTAGAAAAGGAAGACAGCAGCGACAACGTGAGAAAGAAGGGTCTGCTCAGAATTAAAACTAGCTCATCTGTGATGGAGACGTGGCAGGAGAAGGAGAAAAGCTGTGGCATTAGGGCTGGAGCTAAACGGAGCAACAAGGAGGGGGGCTATATTGCTGGGCATATATATATTGAACATATACACATATATTGAATATATACAATATCTCTCTCTATATATATATATTCAATATCTGTATAAAACAGATAAGTGGAGATGGCAATTACGTCCTTGAGAAGCTTGTGCTTGTTTCCTATGGAGGAGCTGGTGCAGTGAGTCAGTGCTTGAAGGTCTACAATGTTCACAAATGGACTTGAAACATCAGGAATCCTTTTTTATTGCAACATTGCGGGTTTTTTTCCAGGAAGTGCATAACTTGAACTTCTTTATAGATGCTGTGAAATAATAATGGTGATTACTCAGTTTGCTATTATTACTTAATAAAAAGTTGTTATCTCTTGTGTACAGATATTTGATTTAATGGATGCCAAAGCCCGGGCTGACTGCATCAAAGAAATAGATCTTCTTAAGGTAAAAAGAGTTGTTCAAAAAGTGTACAGCCTTCATCAAAAACTATTTTTTTCCTCATAAACATATTTGAAAAACTGTCCAGTATTGTCTGGAGTTTTTACAAACTTCAYAAAAGCTATTGTGCAAGTCTTAATTCCTTCAAAAATGAACACTGAAAAGTGTTGAGAGATATGTAGCTTGTCAAGTAGAAGTTCTTCTAAATGGTGTAGGTTAACTGAACATGTAGTGTTTCAATTAAAATATGGATTTTAAAAACTGACCTCATTGTTTCAGGTAATAAAAATACGTTGTATGATGACAGAAGTTGCCCATGAACCATGTTATCTCACAGAATCAGTGAAATGAAATTCTRTTTCTAAAACTAACTTCCAGTCACCACGTTGATCCTAAAATGCCTAACTGCTCTTCTGGCAGTTTTAACATSCTTATCTGTAAAAGATTCTCTTAAGCACAAACTTTTATACTGCGATGTAGATTGTTAGGGGGTTCTTTTTTGTCYAAACAAGAAGGTTTCCTTTCGTTCGTGCTGTACATTAAAATGTGCTTTATTCTTCTGCCCTCTCAGCAACTGAATCATCCAAATGTAATTAAATATTATGCCTCATTCATTGAAGACAATGAACTGAACATAGTGTTGGAATTGGCTGATGCTGGAGATCTCTCTAGAATGATAAAGGTAGGAAGTACTACTTTTTAGTATTAAGAGCTTATAATCACTTGTTTGATTGACTTTTTATTCTTGTGTTCATGACTGGGTTGAATGAAATTAAAATGGCAGAATTTGTAAAGGCCAGTGGAGTGTTTACATTGGGATTTGTTTTTTTGTATGCCCTATGTTGATGCATCATATGAATATTTTCTGATGGCCTTGCCCAGAGTGCAAGGGCAGGTGGGAACATAATTACATTGAGTTTGTTGGCACTGGGCAGAGCAGCAGCAGCTGTAAGGAAGGGTGCTGTTTCCACCTCTTCAGTGGGTTCCTTTTGACTGCCTTCCTGCTCTTGGCACAACTGCCTCTTGCGTTAAGATATTCTGTTCCCTCTCTTAGCATTGAAAACAGAGAGCTGCAGTCATGGGGCAGAAAAAACATTTATTCTATAATCTTGTTAGGTGATTTAGTGAACAAGATGATTAAAATGCAGATAACTGCATCATTTTCTAGGTTTAATCAAACACCACCATGTGTTTAGCAGCAACACATCCTTAGAAAAGTGCTCTTTTATGTTCTTTAAATACTTGTTCTTTATCAGAGAAATTTACCAAGAGTTGTTGTTACAAACCTCATATTCTGGAGTTGCTGAACTTATAACCAACATTTTTACCTTCTTTGTTGTCGTCTGACAACCACTTTACTGTGTGCTCCTGCCGTTTTTCTGCTGGGTTTTCACGTGACCCGTTCTGTTTAGGACCTGTGTGAGAAGAGCTCGTGAATTTCTTGTGAATTTCTTAATTACTTCTATACTGTTTTGTTTGTTTGTTTGTTTTGTTTTTTCTTTGAGCTTTTGAAGATTGATAGCTGTAAGGCAGGACAGCCAGCGCTCGCTTCCAAACAGACTGACAGCGMGCCGTTAATATTTATACCCAAATCCGATGTTTTTCTTCAGCTCATGAGTTATTAATTCCGCAGGCTGGCGTTCCATAAAACATAAAGGGAGGTTTGTCTCTTCTTCCGAGTGTCGAGCCCTGACACGGCGTTATTAACGGGAGAGCTCCGTGCCGGGCGCTGCGACCTGCCGCAGCCTTTCCTGCCTCCTCCACTTGGTTTCTTGCTCTGTTTTAATCCGGCGCTTGACTAACATCTCTGGGCCCTCCTTGCAGCCTGCCCGAGCTGCTGGGCTGTCCTTGCAGGCTCCATCCCAGAGGCAGCTTGCGGTGGTTGCGCCCCGCACACAGGGATCATGTTTAATGTAGCAAACGGGGGTTGCTGTTTGATGTTAATGACGGCCCGTCGGGCTGCCATGAAATATGGATGAGGTGTCAGGCCGCGCCGGGGCTCCTGCCGCTCGCGCCGTGATGGGCTGCGCGGGTGTGCGAGGCCGGCGGGGGGGGGGTTAGCAGTTAGACGGTGTCTTTTGAAATAAATATTTTTTAAAATCGCCTGAAAAATAAATGATACGTAATGGGGTGAAACTTCCCAGCAAAATATCTGCCTGCCGCCTTGCTGGCGTAAGGAGGTTTGTTGTGCAAGGGAGGGAGAAAGRTCGCCCTTTGGTTTGTGGTGTTTTTGACGGGGTGGCTCTGCGGGTTTGTTGGGGGCAAAGCCAGAGGAGCGTGTGGGTCATGATGTGATTTGTAGGATCGAGCTTGTTTTTGGATCGTTTAAATGAATGTAGGTTGAACGGCCCTAAAACTGGTATTAATGTCAAAGAAAAACTACAGTCAGGCAGTAGTTCACCTAAAACAAACCAGATTCCTGGGGTATTTCTTACAACACTAGAAGAGCTGCTGTGCCTCGAGTTGACCTYAGGGAATTTGCTGGTTCTTCCCTTAATGAAGGAAGTTCTGAATCTTCAGCTTTTGAGCACGACTTTGCCTGTCACCGCTGAGTGGGCAGCCGAGGGAAATAGCTTGCATTCAGATTGAGGACTGGTAGTGGATGCTAATCAGCTTCCTTCAAATTTGCTATATGTAAATAAATTTTAAAAAAGTGCATAATGAAATAATGCAAATGTGTGCTCGTATAGTGAGACTCGTGCGTTTAGTTGAGTTGATGGAATAATATACAATGATTCACCTCAAAATGTTCTCCATGGCATTGGGGCCATAAATAACAAAAAAAAATCTAATTGCATTAATAAAGAAGATATATTTTGATGATTCAATTAAAAAAAGCTGACGTGCTGGTTCTTTGAAACAATACAATTTGAGCTCTTTTGCAGAGCAGTTAAGATACTAAATTAAGAAAGTTCTTAGTAAGGCTTGTAAGAAGGAATCTTATCAAGATTTTAGATACAGATGCAATAAACATCTAGATCGGTTTCATTTCTGTGGTTATTTTTAGTTTTTTATAGCAAATTATCTTAGCACAGCAAAAAAAAAAAAACCTTTAAACTGAATATGTCACGTAAGATCTCAAGTTAAGATCATGTTTTGGGAACAAGCATGAAAGCTTTCATCTACAAAGTAGAAAATATGTTAGTGCCTCTCAAGATAGATGGAAAATAATTTGAATTCCCCAAAATGTCACCTAGGTGCTTAACTCTCTCTTCAGAGAATACTTTGGTGTGTGTGTTTTTTTCCCATAGGGAAAAACTGGGAGCAGGCTGGTTTTGTCCTTAACCACAGGTACCTATTGCACAAATAAAACACAGTTACAGTTACCTCCTTCCAAGCAGCTCCTGTGTGGCTGCATTGCTAGTTTCAACAGCAACTTTTCCAGTCCTGTTTAAAATCCCCRCGTTCGTCGTTGTGACATCTCATCCCCGGTGCATATTTTGGGCATCAGCTTRTGCAGTCGAGTCAGGCAGGTTCTCCTGTCTGCACGGCCCGGGTTGCGGAGCTCCCTCCTTTCCCATGCAAAAATGTGTTTTCAGTTTGCCCAGATGCAACCATTTCTTACTAAAATGTTCCCTGCRAGCAGCTTGCTGAGATGCGTGTGTTGGGGAGCGCTGTGTGATTCASTGTGATTCAGATAGGGAAGGACACCCTCCCCTGCCCAGCTTCGCTGTGTTGTTTCCTTTTAAACTGAGTGAGCATCGTATTAGGGATGCTCCAAGCCCCTGGCGCCTTGGAACAGGGCCGTGCTGTTGGGAAAGGGGATTTTGGTTAGTGTGGCCATGGGAAATAGCCTGTGTGTGTGAACTCCTGTGATGCAAGAGCTGACGTGTGCCTGACACAGGCTGGAGCAGGGCAGCTGAACCCGTGAGTTTCCATCCACGTGGAGCCGCATCCACCTGCGCGCTGAGGGAAGGTTTCAGCTGGGAACTGCTCTCCCTGAGGCAAACTTGGGGCCAGACTTGATCCTGATTCTTTGCTCCCCATTCTCGTCTGTAGAACAGGCTGCTGCACCCGTTCTATAGATAAAACTATATGTGCTTCATTTCTGAAGCTRTTTGTGCTGATGGACTTCACAGAGTTCGTTTTGTTAATGTGATATTCCAGTGGTGGATGCCAGGAACACCCTGCTCATGCTCCCCTGCAGAAATGTAGTTACAATAAGAGCTTCTGAACTGAACACTGCAAGTAAGTCCTAGAGATTTTCCAAAACTTAATTCTGAGATTGGTATAATTGCTCACTAATGGAGTGTCAGGAATGAATGGGGAAAGGGAGTTAAAAACTCTGAGGGGGGAAAAAATTGAGGTGACTTTAACTCTTTAATTCTGAGATTTAATTTATATGCTTGACACTTGCATCTGGATGCTTGGCGTTGTGGTTTTGGAAGAAGTGTTTGTCCATGATAATGAAATGTTAGTAACCAGTACACGAATGTGGTTTTGTTTTCATGACCTTTATCAAGGTCGTTAATAGAGGAAGATTGCTTTCAAAAGCATTTTTTTTCAGAATTCTGAGGGGGAAGAAAATAAATATATGCAATCATCAGGAAGTGAACTTGCAATCAGCTGTAAAGGATGTTTGGGGGATGCAAAGGTAGATACAGCATATATCTACCAGTGTTTTTGTACACTTCTGAGCAAGTCAGTTTATCATTGGCCAAGTGCTAGTTGCAGCACGTTCAGCTGAAAGGTGGTGTTCATTTTTTGTTAGTATTTGAYGGATTGTTTCAAGTGAGCATTGCTGCTGCTCTTGACACGAGCTGCTCGTGTTGCTGGGCTGGACAAAGCCAGAGGTGGGAGGAAGAACAAGAAACGACGCAGCACAGAGCACAGGGAGAAAGGGCAGAGAACTTGACGCCATCCAGCGAGGTGGGCAGCTGGATGAGGGAGAGATAGGAGCAAGGCAGGAAGCTCCYGGGATGCCTCTTTCCCACTTTGCGCACACTCCCAAAGCGGGGCGGCTGGACTCGGAGATGCGCACGGTGCCCTGGGGGGCCCCGTGGCCCTCTCCATGAGGCCTTGCTTGGTCTTCATGCAATTAAAGCTGGCCGGGACTCGTGCGCTTTCCCGTGGGGGCTGCCCAACCTGCACAGGCTCTTGGTGTTTGGAGAATCCTTTTATTTCCTTAGCAGAAGTTACTGGGAGCATCACTACCTGTCACGCAGGTAGCAGCCCTTGCGCTCCGCATCCTTCTCCTCTGCACGTTCGGATTGAGGGCCACAAGGATGGCGTGGGTAATTCATTGCGCTCTCAGAAGTCTATTTAATAAAGTTGTTAAAAATAACTTCATATCTTTTCGAGGGCCAGAGCGCAGTGATGAGGCACAGAGCTTTGGGTTGTGCTCAGGATTCTCATCAAAATGTGTAAGCAGGAAAATGTTTAGTGGCGCTTATTTAAAGCAAGGGAATCATCATCCTTGCTCATATCCCGTTTACTTTTCCAAATGGTCTTTCTCAGAGGGTAGCTCTAGCCTGAAAAATGCACAGCAATAAATTCAGGTCATCAAAGTGCTTCTTGTGGGCTTGTTTGGCAGTCCGTTTAGGACTGTGTAGGTAGTTTAGACTGTCAGCTTATTGCCTTTTTGCGGGGTATTTCCACAAGCCTCTTTGCTGAAGGTAYTGAGGACCCCTCTTGTGAGAAGAGTGAGGTGCAAGGGGGGGGATATTGACTTTCTCCATCTGGGGAGGAAGATTGTTATCCTGGCTTCACAAGCTCCAGGATCCCTGAGCTCCTTCAGCCTACAGTGCCCGTTACGGTGCTGCACGTTCCTTGCCGTAGAGGTACAGGAAATTATTTATGAATTTGAGAGTGATTGTATTTGCTGTAGGGCATTGAACGGTGTGTTCYGCTGAAGTCTGCGTAGATTTATCTGGATGTGTTCTCCTTTATTCCAATCCATTGCTTAATTTGGTGATGCAAGATAGATACTAGGTGAGGCTGGTCTGCTTCTCCAGTGCATTTTGCTTTTCATTTTTCCCCTCATATTTTCTCTGGTTGGGTAGGAAAGTCTGAGCCATCCTGAGTCGCCGAACATTGCAGCTRTTCAGGAAAGTGGCACCAGAACCAAATGCTGGTGGTGCTGGTTCCTCTATAACCTGCCTTCTTTAGAGCTCGCCAGGGCGTTTGAATTAGCTRACTTATGACCAGGAGGAAAAAAACTGATATTCAAAGCATGAATTTCAATTTTAACTGTGTTGACGTTCTGAAAACTCTCCAGTAGTACTATATGATTCCTTTCTGTTCACACATATGGATGGAAATCTCATGGAATTTTTGTCTTCATTTGTCAAGGGCTTTTTCTTAGAAAACTGTGCCTTGTTTGGGTGTATAATTCTGTGCAAACTTGGTCTTTTTAATAGCTCATTATCTTCATTGCTGTTTTCCTTACTGGTGGACAGCAGCCTAAGAGAATGTTGAGAATATCTGTTTTGAAAAGAGGCAGTGAAATTAATAACTACATAAAACAATATTCATTGAGGTTATTTGGAAGTCTTGGGCCTCATTCTTTAAGTTTAAACATTATTAGCAAATCTAATGGCTCTCTTCCTCTTTTGACAGATAAATGCTTAAAATCTGCCAAGTTAATAACTTTTCTTACTGAAAGCATCAAGAATATTAGTTGTTACCATCACATATGGTTTAAAGGCCTTCAGTAGACTGAGAGGGCATCTTCAGTACTGTGTTATGGCAGGGACTGTCAGAACCCAAGCGGGCTTTCTAATCTGCTCTGGTGTTATAGATGGAAAAAGGAATCAAGTGTTAAAAGAGGTTTTATACTTAAAACCCACATTGTTGAAGCATGCAATTGAAAATCTTTGTTTGAGCCATTTTGTGAACAGTATTTCATCATTGTTTGTACTTAAATTTGAATTAAAAAAAAAAAAGGCTGTTAGAATGTTTAGCTAAAGTGCCTGGTTACAATTATGATAATTTCAGAATGCATTTTAAATGGAGGAACAGTGCTTTCATGTGCACACACTTACATGTATTGTGTATTTGTTTTAAAATGAAAAGAAACCTGCTCTCCATCTTCCTGTTGACATCAAACACTCCTCTGATATGCAAATCCAGCTATGGGGAGAGCAGCTACAYGGGGCTTGTTTGGATTCGGTCCAAGACCACGGAAAAATATATTTAAATAAGTCACTTACATGTTTGCCTCATTAAAATGAAAATGCATTTTGAAATAATCCCTATAACTGGAAACAGTTTTGGTGGAATTTTATGATTCTTGTGTAAATGATGCATTTCACTGGAGCTAAACATCTTTCTCGTACTCCTGTGCATCTCAACTTCACGGTGGCACATTTTATCATATTAACTATATAAAACTTCCTTCTTTCTTTTTTTTCCCCACAGTGATAAATATTTGTTTTATAAACTTGGTGTGCATAAATATATACAGCATTAAATTTGTTCTGAGTAAACTACATCTAATCGTTGTGCTAGTGGTGCTCATACATTTTCTTTGTTTAAAATCTGTTAAAATAAGAATCCTTTCAAGGAAAGCAGCTGACCTTGAGCAACTATTTTTCTGTTTAGTCTTTAGCTGGAAATTTTGTAATGATGAAACTTGCACATTTAAGAATTGGCTGAACTCCAGGTTTTYGGTATTTTTTGACAACTGTATTATTCAGATGCTGAGAATGGTGTTTGAAGGAATTGTGTGTAGCAGAGCATAGTCATGTTTCACATAAGCGTTAACAGGCCATCAAACTGTTACCCAGGATGAGTAAGAGCTGATAATATTGTTTAAACAGAATGGAAAATATTTCAACAGCAGGAGAGGGATCAGTATGGTTTTTTTTGGAAGTAAATAATACTTTTATTTCAGTTTTAAGTATTTGAAGAAGTTTGAGACTAATCCAGTCTCTTTTTCTTGTGTGATCCTTGTATGTGAATGTGTGCTGCTTCCTGTGTTTTTCTGTTTCAAAGATGAGGCTAGAGAAATTAATATTGGTGCAAAGACACTTTGCCTTGATTACACTCTAGTAGCCATCTTTCAGACCTAGATTATCTGTTTCTTTTTCCAGTCCTTTTATGCATATTTTAATTTTTGCCTTTTTTTTTTCTCTCCCCTTCAAGCATTTTAAGAAGCAGAAGAGGTTGATACCCGAGAGGACGGTCTGGAAGTACTTTGTTCAGCTCTGCAGTGCCCTGGAGCACATGCACTCCCGCCGGGTCATGCATCGAGGTACTGACTGCTCCTTATAATAACCTTTTCACTGCATGAGAGTTGAGCTATTTTGGTGCAAATGACCCCAAATAATCATCACSGGATGAGTTTTGCCAACCCCTAATGCAGCGTTGCTTTAGCACCCTGCAAGCAGCAGGGGACGGTGACAGAAGTTTGTGCCTGTAGATGTGCTTTGCTCTGGCAACCATTTGCTTGCTGTACTGCCTTGTGCTACTTGGCTTGCAAATTAGGTGTTTTTACAAGTGATGGAACCTCTGCTGCTGCTGCCCCTCTTCGTTTTGACAAAATTTCCCATTTATCCAAAAAAAAAAAAAAAAAGAAAAAAAAATCTGTCTTTTGTGTTATTTTGGGAACATGAAAATGGCAGCATTGAAAGGATTTTTTACCATGTATTTTAGCATATCCGTGTCTTATGCAAACTGTAATCTCTTCTGTTCAAACTTCTGTGAGTCTCCTTTTAAGTTCTGAGCCACAGTGTGTTGCTCTTGAGCTCAGTGAGAGCTGGGGACATTTGCCTGGTAAAAAATCAGGTCAGTTTGTTTTGAAGACTTACAGGTACCTTGTTAAAAATCATAAAATAAATCTTTTGCTTTTGTCTCTGAAGGATTGAATTAAAATTGAAATTGGGTATTACTTGTGAGAAATAACTGTCTGGGGTGTACATCCTTATTTTGCTTTGTTTCTTCTTGATTAGCCTGATTCTACTGAGGAGTTCAAATAGCCATTCTCCTGAGCAAAACCTACCCCTTCCTTTTTTTTTTTATTTTTCAATGCCTGATGCTGAAGAGAATCAGATTCCTATTTCCAGAAGCATCATGACACTGGAAATGATGAGAAATGGGGTTTAGGGTTTAGTGTATATAAAAATTATTTTTAGTCTGCTGTTTAAAGTAATGAGAGACTTTCTGGTTAGAGTGTAAGCACTTAAGTATAGTTTAATAAGTAATAATGGAATCCCTCTGTATGTTTTTTTAATTTTTTTTTAAGGTTTTCCTGGCCTTTTATTTTTGCTATTCAGGTTGCTTGTGTGATGTTGATACAATTAAAACTTTGAACTGCAGTTTCACTCTTGCTGAACAGCACCGTCAAGTTTTGTTAATTTTATCCATAATTAAAAACCTCTTTCTGTGTGTTATTGAGAAAGTGATAGCTTTTCTTACGATCTCGCTGTTACTTTTTGGTTTTTTTCCAGATATAAAACCAGCTAACGTGTTCATTACGGCGACAGGGGTCGTAAAGCTTGGAGACCTTGGCCTGGGACGATTTTTCAGCTCCAAAACGACAGCTGCTCATTCTCTAGGTGAGCGAGTGAATGTTGTGGGTGGGAGGGATGCGGATTTTACACGCTGCCGATACTGTACCCACTCACCTTAAAATTAAAAGCAAAGAGACCTCTAGCTGGCAGGGTGTTGTTTTCTTCTAAGTAGCCTGGTCAGCACCATGGACAAATACAAAAAGCCGTAACGCTGAAGTGGTGACACAGGCGGAGCTCCTGTTTCCTTTGTTTGACTTCAGAAGAAGTCTTTAATATTTCTAAAAAATGCTAAAACATTAAAAATTCTAGGAAAAAGTAACGTCCATAATACTGCCTTTTTTTTTTGTAGCGTTTAAATTTTAATGAGCGTTGGAAATAATATAGTAGTTTCATGTGCCTATATGTCATTGGTGACATGGTTTGAAAGGGCTAAAAGAGAAGCTTTTCTGCTTAAAAAAAAAAAAAGGCATGTTGTAGATTTGCCTTTAAAATAATTGAATAATTATAAATTAGCTTGGAAAATTGCCTATGTCGTAGTGACTCTTCCCTGCCCCAACCCATAAGATTGGAAAGAGGAAAAGAATCGTAATTCTTTCACAGCAATTATGCAGTATCAGTGCAGTCATTCCCTACAGATACGTTCAGGTGAAATTTCTCTRTAAGATAAATAGGTTGAGGAGAGATCAGACTTAGGCTGCGTGGACTGTGAAAGTATTTCTGCATGTATGTGTTATATATGAGCGTGTGTGGGCAGGTGCACATGCGTGTTCCAAAATATCCATGTTTTTGCTACTACAATTTACGCAAGTCTTTTCCAAAGACATTTTCACAGAACTTGTAGCTGTTGAGTATCATCTGAGAATCTGTGGAACCTCCACTGATTAAGAAGCCTTCCAAGTAAAAAAAGGTGTCTGTCAGATAGTTAGGGTTAACTGCAGAGAACTGAAACTGTAGCGTCTGAGTGGAAGTGAAAGTCCCTGCAACTAGAGYGGCAGTATCTGCTTTGAAAGGAAATAGAAGGTTTAGTGTTTATAGTAGGATGATGTAGTTAGGAAAACAACMTTTTTTCCCCCCTAAAATGACTGCTTTTAGTGCTTGTTGAATCCAGTCTTGGTCGTTAATGCAAAGGGTTGAATAGGAGTTTGAGACCTCTCAAGCCCAGCACTGTGAGCAGCAACAGGATGGAGCTGATACCTGCAACTGGCTTGTGTGCTGCTCAGAGGCAGTTTTTAAGAAAGGAGTGGGGCCACACTGAGAGCAGTGACTTCTACATATTTTCATACACTTGGCAAAAGCATGTTATGAAAAGTAACCCTTCTTGTGACCTTTTTTTTTTTTAAAGATATTAAGTAGCATTTATGGTCCCTGCCCTGGGATCATAGGAGGGCTCACACGAACGCATTTGCAGATACCGATGGTCCCAGTTAGGCAGTGAAACGTTAGACTGGCTGGATAAAAACATGCTATGTTGATCCTCACCTGTTAATTTAAACTTTTCACGTTGTTCCAGTTATCAGYACGCTGTCGAAAAGGAGAGGGCACTCATGCTCACTGTGTTTGTAACGTAGAAGACGTGGCTGATGTCTGCATTAACAGACAMAATAATGTATTTTGGTTATTCTTTTTGCTCACCTCTACTCGCAGTCTCCTGGGAGGCCTCTGGGCGCCCCTCTCTGCCTCCAGTTTCTCCCAGTATCTCCGGCCCGTGCCAGGGCTGAGGGACACTGCCGAGTAGGAGCAGCTCCAGCCTCGCACCCTCCGGAATTCGKGGCAGGAGGATCCTGGGGACTTCACGTGGGCGCTCGGCCGCAGCCCTGGGGGTGCCTCAGCCCCGAGGGTGCTGCATCCACATGGGGTGCAGCACGGGGCTGAGCAAGCCCTGGGGAGCTGCTGGGGCACTGCCGARCTCGTGCTGCTCCTCCCTTGGGCCCTCTGGGTGACACGGGGACAAAGTGGCGAGGAGGGAGCTCTGGAYCCCAGTCTGGCTCTCGGTAGGGTCCAAACCCACGGAAAAAGCAGAAGTCAGCGGTGAGGGAAGGAGAGCCAGGCTTTTCTGAGCTGTAAATCAGACAGTTAAAATGGCAGGAAAAAAAAAATGTTTCCACCTGGTATTATCTTGGCTTGTGGCAGGGAATTGTTGCAAGGGGACTGAAGGCTGACCCAGGGTTAAAGACAACCAGCCAAAGCTCCAAACAACCAAAGACGTTTTCTGTGTAGCAGCTTGTACTTGTTTACAGGCTTTATGAAAGTTTCAGTGGCAAACTAGGTTAAGGCATTCAGAGAGAAAGAAATGTTCTGAAATTCTCAGTAGCTACTGCTTGCAACTGCTCATTGTGGGCAATACTGATTAAAATGCTTGATGATGGTCCATTTATAAGAAATGGAAACACCTGAGATCTGTTAAATCACTACTGATTTTTTTTCATAGTCTGTTAATGTAATGGCTGACTCATCTGATGTGTGTTTTGTGTAAGTAGCATTACTGTTTACCAAGCAGACTCCTCTCCTAGTTTACAAAATGTTTRACAGTGTTTAGTTAGCTGCTGTTTCCTGAAACTCCTCTGTGCACTGCCACTTTTCACACAAACTCTCTTCTTTCTCCCAGCAGCAATGTGAGTTACACACCTATGCAGGTAATAAAAGGGCACGTTCACATCCTTACACCTTTTCTTCATCATAATTTTCATAATTTCTGTGACTCCTGTCCCTTCCTTGCAAAAGCAGAAAGTTTCCATAAAGWAACAGCATTGTCCAGCACCCTCTAAAAGGGAGGGAGCTGCAGAGAGCAGCAGCCCCTGAACAAGCAGGTTTGGCCGTTTTCAAGATGACCACTAAACCTTGCAGGTTATCCAAGATGTGGAAATGCAGGAAATAGCCTTGAAGTTGCAAATACTGTTCCTGAAAATTCAGCTACCCTAATGTGTTACATCTTTGTCTGTCYTATCCCATGTCATTGCTTCCACAGGTAATTAAAGTAGCATGTCCTTATCRTACTGTGATATATATCTCCCTTAACAGTCAAAACAAGGACACGGGAAGAGGCGCGAGCGACTGTAGCCGAGCCCGGGTTGTGGCTCCTTGCTGCGGTTGCTCGTGGTGTTAACGAACCCTCCCGTGGCTGTGGTCAGAGTAATGAATCCTGCCCCTCACCACCACTTAAAAACAGCCCAGGAGTAGTAGCGAGCTCTAGGTCTGGAGGTTGTTCCTGTGTTTTCAGTGGCTGCATGCTGTAATTTCTGTTGTTCTTCGCTTGTTGGTCACTGGGGGCTTCAGGCCGTGTTGCAGGCAAGGTGTTACACTAGGCTAAACTCCGTAAAATGAGAGCATTTGTTCTGCTTTTTCACTATCATCAATCTTTCACTGTCGCGTCAGACACCTAACGTATCGGCAGGTTTCCCAGGGCTCCCACTTAAAATTACCTTTGCTTTGGAAAACGACGGGCCCTGCCCGCTCCGTGCCCAAGCCACCCCTGCGGACACATGGAGCCGTTTTCCAGCTCCTCCTCGTGCTGCTTCGTGTCTGCAGCGGGAAAGGCAGCCAGTTCCCAACCCTTTTTTGTTACTCCTAGAGCTGTTTTTATGTTGCTAAATGGATTCTGCTGTTAGAGCACCTGAATATCCTCAGTATATTCACAGATGCAAAATGCAACAGAAAGCCTCCTAAGGTATCCAAGCTTACAAGTCCCAGGAAAAAAGATTTCAGCGGAGAAGTACTGCAAGCCTAGTAAAAATCTTTAAGCTATATCAAGAGAAATGTTGTTTAGGTACAGTTTAAACTTTTAAAACAGCTGCTATTTACTTTACTTTAAAATACTGCTGTATTTACATTACTTTAAAATACTGCTGTTGATATGGATATGCTAGAGCATTCAAGTAGGGAGCTGATTGTCCCCCTTCCAAAAGCAAGGTGCCATCCTTTGAGGTGCCAGCCTTTAGGAAGTGTGGGAAGGCCACATTGCCAAAGCCAAGCCCGTAAGTTTGGGAAATAACCAGATCAAAATCATTCATTTCATTTATTAAGAGTTGGAATAATGCATGTATTTGTTGTATCTCCGTTTACAGAGTCCATATGGAGGTGAATTCTGAATAGCTGAAACTAAACCAAAAATGCAGCATTGACTACAATGGCCTCAAAATTCCTGTGAAATAAAAATGTGTGAGGTTTATCCCCGGATTTTTGTGGGAATATTGATTTTTAAATTCTGGCAGTGTTACGAGAGTTTTCATTTGTAAATGCAGTCAGTTGCAATGAAATGACTCTAAATCAGATGGATTTCATTGCGGGAGGGAACGTTTAGGATATTTTCCTTTATCTCTAGGAAAAATGAAAAACCTTTAATTTTGGAGATCTTTCTGAGTAGATTTAAAAGCAAAAATGGGAAATATTTAATAACTGGTTTTGATAATTGCATATCAGTGAAGATAAAGCTGCATTGGATGAAATACATATTTAATTCGCATCCATTTCTGTCAAACCACAGACTGCAAAGGACGGGTTCAGTTTATGCATAGGGAAATGCCCAGTATGAAAGATAAAATTGTTTTTTTTTTGTGAGGGGGAAGCAATACTGTGGGTTTTTACTATTTGATAACAGTGTTTTTTCATTCAGAAATTCCTGTGTGTCTRTTGCAGTTGGTACCCCTTATTATATGTCTCCAGAGAGAATACACGAGAACGGTTACAACTTCAAGTCTGACATCTGGTCCCTGGGCTGCCTGCTGTACGAGGTAACGCCAAGTGCTGCCACAGCCTCCCCCAGTGCTCATCCAGGGGCCTGGGTGTGTTTGACTGCTTGGAAAAGCACCCAGCTTTGTGGGAAAATCCTCCTTTGCAGCCCTTATGTGTTTAAAAATATATGTATTTAGCAAATGAGAGAGGTCTTAAGGAATTTCAGCATATAAAGTGCTTTATTTGCGAGTTAGTAGATGCTTGCCTTTTACTAGGATTCCTACAAAAAGATTTACAGGAATTTGCTGAGATTGTGCATAACTGAAGGATTAATGAGTCAATAACAATGGGCACGTGGAAAAATTATTTGAGGTATTTTAAAGGGCCCATGCTTTTTATATGATTTTGGTAATACAGGAGTTGAGAAGAATTAGGACCGACTTGAGCATGCAACTAATGCTCACTAAACCTGTGATGTATTCTGAAACAAGCCTAGTTATCTAGAACTGAAAAGCAATAAATTGGGCTGCTGTGTACTTATTACTAGCAGCTAGGATTAACTTTCAAAAATAATAGCTTTGTTGCAGAGACACGAGCATTTTTCTCCTTCCTTTCCCTTTGCTAGTTAAACTGAAATTGTTTGCTAACTTCTGCGTTTCGCATTCTTGGGGTGCATGTACTGAAGTGTAAATGACCTTATATTCTGAARGGGGAAAAAGATGCAGGACTAGTTCAAAGAGGGCCTTAGTGAAGGTGTGTGGGATAGGAGGCAACTGCAACTCCAGTGACGGGGAAGTGCTGGGAAYCAGTTCCTTTGCCCTGTAGTACTGGCAGTGGGATCTTCCCAGTCATCTCCTGGATAAAAGCTGATATATCCAATGTGCTTTTCCATCTGCCTAGGTGGAAAACTAGCCACCTGCCTCAGTGCAACTTCAACGTCCGTGTAACATTGTCCACTCATGTTGATGACCCTAAATATGGAAAGGGCTAAGAGCTGTATGGCCATTCTGAGGGTAGCCGCTTCTAAGTCTTTGGGATAATCCATAGGAATTAAGGACATACCTGATAGTGAGTATTTACAGGTTTAAATCCTGCAGTGAGACCTAATTTTGGGATTCCTTAATACCAACCATGGCAATTGCCATCAGCTTCCATGTTCTACTTMATGTGCTTGAGCAAGGAGAAGCCTCGAGCCAGCAAATTTCACCAGTGGATGAGGGTTTTTCAGTATGTCTCTTTTCCTCCTAAACCCCTGCTAGTTTTCTTGCATATTGCTTTTGTCACAAAAACAATCAAAAACCTTAAATAACTGATTAATATATGAAATTAGGACTGTTTTAAGGTTAACACTCCTTCAGTGTTATGGATGTAGATTGATGGGTGGATCAATAATAGTTATTTCTCTTCTAAATTTTTTTAGCTTGCTACTTTGCTGCTACATGCATTACATGAAAAAATCAGATAAAATTTTAAACAGTGTGCAAAAATATAAGTAGCTAATTATCTTTATTCCAGTGATTATGACAGCATCTCTAGATTTTTTTTTAAGACATTTTATCAGGATGCTGTTGAAGCTGACTTTTTTTTAACCTGTACTTGTTTTATGAATAGAACAATTATTCCACATAAGTAATTCGCTAATTTACCAGCCCTTTATGATCACTGAGATGTAATTTTGAAAATTTAGGTATAATAATAATAATAATTTTAAAAAAGCCTAGAAGTAAATAGATGCTTAACATTTTTCTCATTTAAAAAAAATTATTTCCAAGAGCTTGCTTAAGGTCTGCAAGCCATGCTTGGACTGTGACATTGGTGTGGTTGTTATCGGTGCTGTTTTGTGCTGGGTGTCTTTTTGTGATACGTGTTATGTGCATTATCTGCATTTTAACACATTTTATTGTATTGATTTCATGCTAATGTGTGCTCTGGATTCTCTCCAACTTAATTGGGGAAAAGCTGTGGCATGTTTATCACTTTTCAATGCACGCTTAATTGCCATTAAGCTCCTCTCAGTTATGTTTTAATTAAAGTTTAAACTAATTAGCTATAGCTTATGTTTATTTAAAAATATTATTTCTAACCTATTCTACGGATTATTGTTCAGTGCTTAGTGACATGGTCACTGGGATTTTTTTTTTAAAGTGTATTTTAAAGTCTGCTTTGCAGAGCCTTAGATATTTCTGCAACCTGAAAAAAAAAAAGCCCACTACTGCAGGAGTTTTTAATTGATATGCAACAAAGTAGACTTTGCTAATTAAAGCCAAGATGCTGTGCTTTTGCTACACGGACCTTTACAAGGAAACGTAGGTTTTACACATTTCCTTTTATTGTTCAGCGTAGCAATTGCATCCTTACAGGGTTGTAGGTTGGTGGCTTACAGTTCAAAAAAAAAAAAAAGGGAGAAGAAGAAGAAGAAGAAGAGGAGGGAGCTGGAGCTGCCACCAGCCCCGCAGACAGACAGTGGGCTCCCGTCCCGCAGACACCCCCGGAATACTAATCAGCAAAGTCAGACCCTGGAGGTCAGGGAGCAAGTCAATCATTCCAGCGATCGTCTCAGTGTGGAGGATCAAATTAGCCTGAAAAATTCAGCTGCTGGGAGGAGAGGGCGAGCAGCTGTCAGGGGCAGCAGCGAGATGCACTAATGAACCAGATGAATAGTGCAAAAGCTTGAAAATAAAAACAGGACAGTTGACATTTTTCATCTGTCAAAGCAGGAGATGCATGAAAATATAGTATTCCTGTTTTAACTCCTTAGGGGACATTCGGAATTTCTTTTAACACTCTGCAGCATTCAAACAAAAGTACTTTTTAATGAACACCTAGAGTCTGAAATGAGTATCTGTGCATTTATTTGAATTTTTGCATGCATACCGACTCTGTAACTGGTTTTTATTTTATTTTTATTTTATTTTTGGGTCATTAGCCTGCATTTTTCATGTTCTTTTCAAGGTAGAGCCAATGTCATGYACATCAAAAGAACTAACATTATTTTGTTAGTACGGTTGTAGGATTTGTAGGGGGAGTGGAGGACAGAACTCCGTAGGATTAATTTGGGAGCCTCCAAATCATTCTTATTTCAAGTTAGTATAAAAATTAGTACTGAACCGTTTGAGAGCATTTTATTGGGTATAAAGCAAATGCATATTAGAACGTTGATAATTTTTTTCCCCTGATTTTTTTCCATATTGTGTCAGTGCTTGGCTATGAAGGAGTTAAAGGCATATCTGGAGGACCACAAGACAGATGAGAGCCATTTTCAGCTTGTCCTGTCCCTGTTGAAGCTCACTGAGTAGCACAGCATGGACCAGCGTGTTTCACACACGCTCTGCCTGTCTGGGGAATGTACACATTGTCCTTCCAAAATCAAACTTATTAGCACATGTAGAAAAGGGTGACTGACTTTGGGGCAGCTCAGCACTCAAAGCAGCAGTCGTGCTGCTGCGGTTCAAAGCCTCGGAAAGCCTTTGAGCAGAATGGAGAGATTTGAAAATGAATTTTTAAATTTGTAATTCCGCTAACCATAGCATTTGTCTCTACCAGAAATGTCAAGTTGCAACATCGACTAGAAATAAAGCATGGGCTTACTAATGCTATTTTTAAGTTGATCGGCTATTTTATGTTCTCCACCAGATAATTTTTAATACAGTTGGGAATTCTAGTTACGAGTGTCAGCTCAATTTTGCACTTCTAATGAAGTTTCAGGATACCACCTTATCTTTTGTTGAAGCATTTTGAAGTAACGTACTGAATCAGTAGTATTTTTGGGAAGTATTGATGAGCTTATGTTCCTTACAGGTTTCCTTATTTAAAAAAAAAGGGGGAAATAGCTGAAGTAGGCTGCAAAGTCACTGTTATCCAGCATTTTCTCCATAGGCTGCTGTAGATCAGCTAATTTTTCTTAGGTAAATGATATACTTTTTTTTCCCAAGAGCATTTTAGGGAAGCTTTGTGGGTGTGTTTTGATTTTCCTCAGTGGTACAACCCCTGTGCTCACATCAACAGCTGAAACTATTAATAGAGAATGAGGATAAAGCAGGTGAAACTGTGTTCCTGTGTGCAACTGAAATGCTGCAGTCCAAGGATGCTGACAGTTGGGCCGTGCCCCGTGCAAACTGCTTGTATTAATTGCTTCAGACCCAATGTTTTAGCACTTGACCCAAATGGAACAGAAGTCATTAAAAGTCCCTTTGACTTACTAGTACAATAGATTTTATGTCAGAAAAGGTCTATTTAAAAACACAAAGTAAAAATGTGTGCTTTCTCTTGAGCAGATGGCTGCGCTGCAGAGTCCCTTCTACGGCGATAAAATGAACTTGTACTCCCTGTGCAAGAAGATCGAGCAGTGYGACTATCCGCCTCTGCCCTCGGATCACTACTCAGAGGAGGTAGGTACCTCAGCACCTCTTGGGGGACAAGCTGGGACCTTTTCAGGCAAACGAACCGGGGTGATTTCATGTGATTTGAAGATTATTCCCCCAAGCGTTTGCTTGACTTTGCTCAAATGTTTATCTCCCAACAACTCTCTGATGCAATATCTTTTTTTTTATTATTAATACTGCTGGTAGCCTCACACCGTTAGCTTCTTAATTTCATTGTTCTTCCTTGCAAGCCTCGTGAAATGCAGCATCGCTCCCAGAATGCACAACGACGTGCACCGCGTGTCACGACGGAGCTGGGGCTTCCCTCTGCCTACATTATGGTTTTCTAAAAGCACAACTACGCGAGTTTATGTCTCACGGTAAATTAGCCTACTGGCCTCGCTTCTCCAGAGACTGGCATTAAAATAGAGCTAATGTAACTCAGTCGTAAACATGAATTGTTAATCCCTATTTGTCCGCATTATGAAGCTGCCGTGTGCTGCTCCATATGACCGAACAACAGTCATGGTTTGGCAGGAAAGTGGTTTGTGACCGCGTTAATAAAAAATTGCAGAGAAATATAGAAAAACATAATACAGGCGAATTTGAGCAGTATACTCCTGGTGTGTGTAGCCAATAACATTTGTTTTAAGCTGGTACATAATAGCTCTTTGCTGTCAAAACTGGAAGTGTGTGTATGGGAAAGGGTTTACTTGCTTTTTTTTAAACTATAAAGTGAAAGGAAACAAGATAGTAGAAACTAAATATTTTTCCTACCCAATATGACAGGTTGGGGAAATAAAAATTCTTGCGGCTTTGTGTTCTGAAATGCCAGTTTTGAAGTACTTTCCTGCTTAGAACAGGGCAAACTGATAGGAGCTGTAAAGCAAACAACAGGCACTAGGAACCAATTCAAAYTGAATTTGGTCTGCATGAGATAAAGATMAGTTTGAAAACACGGTAATGATCGTGATTGCTGAAATACTTTTAATAACACGAGGTGTTGTGTGATTTTTTTTTTTTTTTTTTTTTTTTTTGCTTCTGGAATAGGAAGTTGCAATTGTGAACTTTGAATCTTTTTGCATTCCCGGGCAATGAATGGGCTGTTAATAGGAGGTAACTGCCCTGTGTTTTGTTGTGTTTCCAGTGCCAGTTTTTCCCCTTTTGCGAAGCCAAAAAGCCGGGCTTGGGAAGGTAGCCGGCGGCTTTGGGAGGCTGGRTACTGAGCTGTGGGGTGGTTTGTGCTCTGCAGCCTGTACTGGGCTTTGCGGTCGATCCTTTCAGCCGCTTCCCCACAGCAGTTGGCGTCAGGCGGCGCGCGCACAGCCGCGCGCACAGGCGGCGAGCGGCGGTGCCGGGGCCGTGCTTTGTGGTATCACTCACGGCGCCGAGCCCATGAATATTTCACGTGGCTGCATCCTCGGCCTCCCTCCTGCGTCCCGGGCTGATTTTCAGGCTGTCTCCATTTGCATTTCACACGGCGGCTGCCGAGGGGCCGCAGAGGCCTAGGCCCTRCTCCAAGGCCTAGGTCCCGCGCCTAGGCCCGCTCGGTGGCGGTCGCCATGGCGACCCGCGGCGCGGGTGTTTTGGCGGTGACGCGGCCGGCGCGCGGCTGACGTCGGCCCCCGGTGCCGGTCCTGGAGCTGGGGTCGGAGCCGGGATGCGGCAGCTGCGCCTCTCCTTGGTGTAAATCCGGTGTTTCCGAAACGGCTGCTGCTGTGTGGTATTTGGCAGCGTAGTGAGAGCTGTGATACAGCTTAACACCGCGGGTGTAGTGTCTTCACAGGAGAGATCACGCAGGTTTTCTACAGCATTAGTAGATATGCATTAGTAACTTGCTTCTGAGATAAGATTTATATTGCCCAAATGCACAGGAAATATAAGTGTGCACATTAATTATTTTACCAAAACGTTCTTTTCCCCTCGTACAAGAAGCATTGTGCTCTGGATGGAAGCATGCTTGGTGAGCAGTGAAGTTTGGGGATCCCCAGGCAGTAAAACCCGCCTTGTGTTCTGTAGCAGTGAATTAGCTGAAAGGGYGACTACACTGGGAGGGATCTGTGTCTTCACATAGGAGCTTTGATTGCAAAGTAGAAGACGTGCATTTTGGGTTAACTCTCTGTATTGAGATGAGTTGCATTTAAAGCTATATCATTTTGGAAGTCCCTCTAAGACTAACTCTTCATTAATACATCATGTTTGTGATGTTCCACAACAACGTGACGGAAAGGTGCGGCTTAAGACAGATGGAGGGATACATTTTATTTTATTTTTTATTTTTTTAAATGCACTCCTTTGATCCAAAATCCTAATATTCAGAGATGCTGCCTGTTGCATTTGCAAGCAGACTGGCTTGAGGACCACAGTGCCAAGCTGAGGTTTTCCAAGAGCGTGACCACCGTGGGGATCTCCATTTCCAAACATGCCTTAGGAAGCGCTGGTGCTCGGAGCAAGCGCTTGGCATTTGCTGAAAATCATTCTAATTTAGGAAGTTTGCCAGTCATACCTCAGTCCTTGGGCACTGCTAACATTAGCCACCATCAGCACCCTGTGGCTCGTGTCCTGCTGCTCCTGCGTCAGGCTGAACTCCAACCCCAGCACACTTCATGTGCCAAGTGTCCAACTGCTTTCTGTGATCATTGAAAATTCCCCTGATCATCGGAAATTTTATCGATGTTAGAGAGGTTGACAAAGACTTCAGATTTATTTAAGCAGTTATTTCTGTAGAGTGCATGAAGAAATAGGTCTCTAATGAAGCATTAGCATCCAGGATGATCCCAGTCTCAGTCCAGGAAGATTTCTGTGTTCCTGTGTAGCTGTTGTTTTCCTCCTGCATAGAAAAATCACTTCATTTGATCCCAAAGGTTTGCTGTTCAGTAACAAGGCTCTAAAGAACTCCAGGATTTTGAAGTTATTCAAGGATCTGCCCCGTATGTTTCAGGCATAATCAGCTGCGGTTTCTTGCCCTAGAGCAGAAATTCTAGGGATTGGGAGGGGGAGGCAAATTTAGCAGCATCTGCAGCGACCAACGTTTAGACGTTGTTGGCCAGGAGAGGTCTGTGGCGGTACTGCTTATTTAATTAAAATATTAGCGCAGGTTTGTGAGCCGCTGAGCCCACCTCTTGCATTATGTTAGGAGTTTCCAAGTGCATCAAATCAGTGATTGTCCCTTATTGTTAACATATTCTTGTAAATCCTTTCTTCCCTCCAAACAATACCAGCCTTTTTAGAGTAAAAACAAAGCACACAAACACAAAAAAAAACACACACAAAAMCACAAAAACGTGCAAAATGCCACCAGTCTTCATGCCGCATAGCTTGTTTTTCTCCCCCAAATGTACTAACAAGAGTTACTATGGCCTAAGTCCCTATGTGCACTTTTGAATATTGGTGCTGTTTTTTCTAAAGCGCCTTCCTAAGAAATGAGTCTCTGTTGCCATTTCTAAAGGTTTGAATATACTGTAACATAAATAAGAAAAGCAACTCTGGGAGAAGACATTGTTTAATGACTTTAAACAGTTTGAATCTAAAAATGGGTTTTGGATGGGAAAGTTCAGCTTGGGGAAAAACAAAACCAGTCAACAACAAGCCAGCACTGGAAAGCCATGCAGCACCTGTTGGAGGCAAAGAAGGTCTCTTGGGCCTTTCACAGGTAAATCTCCTGAAGATCTGATTTTATTGTACTACCTACAATAAAGTTATTGGCATGTAGCTAATATATATATTATATTAATATAATTAATATTAAAATTATGTGCAAGCTGGATGTGCAGCCTGCCCCGTCAGAAAGCCATCCAGCCACGGTGAGCTCCGGGGTCACCTGCAGCAAAACCCATGACTGTCTCTGGCAGTTTCTGGGGAAAAGAAAAATTAAGGGCTTAATCCTATGAACAGGTACTGGAACATAAACTAAAGACTCTTTTGTCCAGTATCCTATAATGGGCAAATGGAAGAACAGGGCCAACATCACGCAATGATTCAGAATCACACAGGATTTTTCCCCCAAATACTTGTCCTAAGTTCTAGCAGTTTGAAATTCAGCAGTTTCCCAAGTTGGAGGTGGAATATTCCTATTAAATAGTCGCCAGTGTGTTCCACTTGCCTGGTTCCTTTTAGCATGTATTCGTGTTTGGGCTCCCAGCAGCAGGAGGAYCTGCAAGTTCACTTGACATTTGTACGAGGAGGATTCATTCTCTTTCCCTGGATGTGTCGCACAGGAACTCCCCTCCTTTCTGGACAGCTCTTGTGTTTGTGTTCATCTTGTATTTACCTGCYTAACCTTCTCCATGCTCATTATAACCTATTAGGCTAAAGTCATAGATGCCCATAAACCACGGGCATCGTCATGGAAATGATTGGTTGTGAATGTCTGGAATAGTATATTGAAAGTGTTGGAACCTGAATCTCCCTATTTGCTTTTCTAGAGAGCAGCATAAAAATGCAGAAATGCATTTTGCAGGACTGTGTTGCCAATGTGCTTGTATAACACCCGTGTGGGTGTGTTTTGAGAGGGTCTTGGCTCTGGGTGTGAGTGCTCACTTCTGCCACTCTTCCTAATTTGAAACTGAGAATAGCCAAATACTACTTGACAGCATTGCTGGCTTCCTTACCCATGTTTTCCTTTTCCAGCTGCGACAGTTAGTGAATATGTGCATCAACCCAGACCCCGAGAAGCGACCAGACGTGACCTATGTGTACGACGTAGCGAAACGTATGCACGCGCACACTGTGAGCAGCTGAACAGCCCCGGGATCCCAACGAGAACAACACAAATACTCAAGTATTTTAAATAGATCATCCCTCTTCTTTCCTCTGTGTGTTACAGAAATGTAATTATTTGAAGCTTATTGTCGTGCTCTGAATTGTAAACCAATTTATATACAGGCTTTCTTTTCTCTTTTTTTTTTTTTCAACTTGCAGTTTTAAAACAAGTTGAAATATGTAAAGCATAACTACCGGGAATCACTGTTTTCCATGTAAAATGAGTTCAAGTGTATTTTTCTTTAATAACAAAATTGTATTCAGTTGGACCTTAGTTCTTAAGACACAGTTGCACTTTTGCACATGATACAAATAGTAGGCTTATTCAGAAACAAATTTCTGAATCTCACATTTTTATTAAGTTATAAAAAAAGAGTTAGCACAGATAAATTTATTGTTTTAATCTTTCTTTTAAAAGGGACATAGTTATTATAGAAGGTTACTGTATTTTCTACTGAATTGTAGCTGCAGCTCTGGGCACAAGAGGAGCCTGATGAGCTGGGCTCTTCCAGGCATGCAAAGTGCAATGGGAAAAGAGTTAGGGGAAAAATTGTCACATGCCAAAATTTCTTTTCATTGTTTTTCTGCTATAATGTACATAAAATGTTTGTTGGAGGTTTTGGGGAAAGGTTTGAGGTGTTGATTCTGCAGTTGGATCATTTTCAAGAGTCTTGGGCAGCGCTGCTCTGCAGCAATAGGAGTCCTAGTAGGTGAAGATGCTGAAGCTACATGGGTGCTTTTGGCAGCAAATAAGGGATCTGGGTGGCTAGCACGTAGGAGAAGGTCCAGGCTAAAAGAYTGCAATGTTTAATTTACAACTTCCCAACTATTTATGTATATGTCACTGTAGATTATTGTATTTAAAATTAAATGACCTTACAGCACTATATTTAAATTGAAGAATGCCTTTTTTTTTTATCCACGAATCTTTTGGTATTTTGTGTACAATACTACAAATGTATTCTTCCTGAATATTTGATCTTATATACTGTATGTATCCTGAGAAGTAGTTTTCTATTTAGCGTAAGTAAATATTAGCTTTGCTTTTTAAATGAAAGTGGCCACTCTGACATTTGGAAAGTAAGTATATATGCAAAATATTCTCCCTTTGGTACTTTATTAGTTGAAAAGGAAACTCAGAATATTTTGGGTAAAGTCTAACACCCTTTTGGATATTTGGATATGATTTAGTAATATTTTTACTGTTATGAACAAGACTTTTTTTTTTTTTTCTCCTTAAGAATATGCTATAATTGAGTTTGGACAGAATTATTTTGAGTTTGAAGACAATTATTTTGAGAATATACAAATTTTCAAAACACAGCTGAGTGAAACTGCTGAGAAGTTAAGGTCAGTTAAACCTTGATATAGGTAAGATGAGATTGAACTAGAGAAAAACCACAGTATGTTCTTGTACATAAGGGTTCTATATGGTTAGTCTCTGCACACCCATTTTTTTCTGTGTGACTTTTTAATTTTTAAATATAATAGTGTATAATGAACACAATACAGCCATGTGTCTTTGTCCTAGATTAATTCTTTGATTTGACATAACGCTTAAAAAAACCAAAACCCTCCCCCCCCCCCCCCCCCCCCCCCCAATTCCCTCTTTTGTATTTTTGTTTCAAAATTGTATAAAATGAATCCTTARTTTTCTGTCTGGCTGCTGTATGTACTGAATTATTCTCTTAAGACTTCAGTGGGGCGACTTATGGGAGTGAAGTATTTAAGAGACCTGTCAGAATTGATGCCTTTGTTTGTGTCCAGCAACCCCTGTTTCTCTCCTTTTTCTCTCTCTCTTTTTTTTTTTTTTTTTCCAACCACTGGTTTTAAAAACTGACGGTTATGTTTTATAACAATAGTTTGTATAATAAAGTCAAATGRGTTTTATTTGCAGTTCTTGCTTGACTGCCGGAACTAGCTCTCCGTACGCAGCACAAGTACTCAAGCCATTTGTTTCTGAAATGAAGTCAAACACTTAAAAATCTCTGGGAAAAAAAAATCCAAACACAACTATACTCCTAGCATTTGTCGTTACATATCAATTATTAGCATTTTTCCTGAAAGAAAGAACAATTTCCCTTCTACACTCCCGTTTTTGGAAGGGCAGCTCGAGTATAGGCATCACGATGAATGAGGAGGTCCTACTTCAGTGTTTAAGTCTTGATGATTAATCTTTTGCTGAGTAAAAGTAGTTGCTATTTAAGAGGCATCCAAAAGAAGTTGTAGGGAGGCCTCTGGTACTGACCCTGGTCCTGAGCACCTGCAAGGCTCAACTGGGCTGCCCGGGGTCTCCAAGCGATTCCTTGAGCAAGTTACCCTGAACATATGAAAACCATGTCTGTTATAACACATATGAAAACCATGTCTGTTATAACACTTCCATTTCTCCTATACTGCTGCAAAGTGTTTTCTTTGCAAAACACTATTCTAATTTTCATATGCTGATGGTGGCATTTGACACTATTTATTTTGTGTTTATGGCATTATGTGTTTATTTTCTTCTAAATTTACATTTCTAACGTAAATGGCTGACCARCTTCACCTTTTATTTCAGTAGTACTGCAGTATTAACATGCTTCATAAAACRCTAAACTTCGTGCTTTGAATGACATTACTTAAAATATTTGTCTTGAACCTTAAAGGCTCCCTTGCTGTGCAATAGTCTAATAGATTTAGAACGTGTAGATATTAAAATGTAAAAATGGTAGTGCTTCTATGATATTTTCTCAACTTTTATTCTTACAGATATATGTGTTACAGTAGATGGTACCTATCTTGTGAACAGTTTACTGCTTCCAGTAGTTGGTTATAGGTGAGTTTTGTTGCCTGTCACAGAAGAAATTATGTTTAAGAAAAATTGCATACTGTATGTTAAAATTATATCGAAAAGGACTAGATCTATGAACGGTTAATGTAATAGAGTTTTTACTTATAATATTTAAAAAGAGAATCTAAAATTATTTTAAGCAGTGTGAAAATAGCCTGGAAAGCATTAAAAACAAAACCCCYTCAACCTGCCTTTCTTGCGCCCTTCCACGGACCCGTGACCCTGGTGCTTTCTATGGGATTCTGGTGATTCTTAGTGAACCTGTTTTAGGTGCAGTGAGTAAACAGGAGCTGGCAGGGTGTAGGTGTAAAGAAGGACTCTGCCTAGCTCGCTTTGCAAACTTTGTGTTTTACTGTGTTGGGAGCACTGGCTGCTATATCTTCTTTACTCTGCATGTTGTAATGATGCAGCCACCCGCTCTGTGAGCAGGCAGTAGAAGTCTGTGCTCTATCAGTAACGAGCCCTAGCTGTGAAAATGAGCAGGACTGGAAGTGCTGGAGAAGGCTGGTGTTTTATTCATGCTTGGGATAAAGAAAGAGTGAAATATTCTGACAGAGCCTTGCAAGTGGAGAAGACAGCCTTGTTACGCCCATGCTTCTCAGGGGTCTCCAAAAGCACAGCTTGTTTCCTGGCCCCTCCAGCGCTGGCGTCGGGGTCTCACGGCTGACGAGGAGGAGTCGGTGAAGGCCTTTGGCTCTGCATCTGTGGAGAGTTCCTCTATTTGGGAAGCCAAGGAGTGGGGCAGCAGAGCACAAATCACTACTTCAGCAGTCCAAAGSTTTTTCCAGGACCTGCAGGTCCCCTCACCACCCTGCAAGTGAGTGTTGGTACCTTGAATATGTGACCTGTAGTTTGGCCTGGATGAACTGCTAACTCTTTGYGCCAAGGTCATCTAGCAGCTTAGGAAGGTGGGAAATGCAGGTATTGGCCATGCCTGATGATTTATGTTTCTGTATGTTTCCAAACATCATTCAGATGTTGATTTTTTTAAGGTTCTCTTTCAAACTTTTCCCCTTTTCCTGAACTTTCTTTTAATYTCTTCCCTTTCTTATTCACTCCTGCATCCCGCCATTTCTGTCTCCTGCTGCTTGTGCTTCGTCCTCCGCTGTCTGTTTCGCAGCCCTCCTGCTTTGACGTCTTCTGTGTCTAGTTTTCCTTCCCGTGACCTTTTCCCAGTGACTGCTAGTTTGCATTGCTGACTGCTTTGGGACTTGGCTACGCTCTGCACACTTCTGCCTTCTCAAATTTTATTTCTCATCACCGGCGTGCCCTGTATTTTTGGTTTGTTTTATTCTGATAACTCCTGTCTTGTCCTTCACTCTTTTTCCAACTCCCTGCTTTGATTTCTAGCTTTAGACAGACTTTCTTGCTGCCTTGATCACTTCCATGACCTTGTCTTCACTAAATACTGTTCTCTTTATTATCTCTCATTTCTAAATTCCCTCTCTCTGATCACTACCTGCTCTCTCTCAGCCTATCTGTCTGTGTGTCTCCTCCACCCTGTCACTCACCCCTTTTGGGATCTCCAGTCTATTAACCTTTCTGACTCCTTTACTCTTCTCGGCTGCCTTCTTCCTTCGTTGGCCTCGCTTCTTGTGACCGCCCAATCTTTATTTTCATCTCGTTCCTCTTCTCTGTATGTGATTTCTGTGGTCATTYTTGCACTGTCCTGTCTCCWTTCTCTCCCTGGACATTTTTTTTTCCTTGTAATTTTGGACTTTTCATTCCTGCCTTTCTGAATAACTCTAGAGGGCTGGGTTGGCACAGTGCAGCTCTGGGCTCAGCTTTTATTTATTTATTTTTATTTATTTTTTTTTTTAATTCATTCTCCAAACGAATTTTTAAACCACTTTTATCCTCACTTGTTTTGAGCTTGTTTCCAGATTCACATTTCATTTTTCTTGGCCACCCGTTTTTTATTTAGAGTTTATCTTAAGAACCAAACTTGATATTACATGGCAATATCTTCTATTTAAAAAAAAAAGGATCTACCTTCTCATTGTGGGTTTCTGAAATAGCCCCCTACTCCTTAGCTGTTCACTTTTCTATTTTTGTATCGTCTTTTGTGCATTTGTCATGCCTTTCCTGAATGACTGCTACCTCTAAACTCTATTAAATTCTTTTAATTTCATGTTCTCTTGCCACCATGTTTCTGCTTTTTCCCTTTTTGAAGGGGGTGCCATCTATTATTTTAAGTGGTCTTTGGTAGTATTTGCCTTTCAGTCCTCACTGAGCATCTCCTCATATATCCTGTGCTCACACGCTGCTATTCTGGTCTCCACTTGGTTTCCAAGGTTTTGYTTTTAATTTTGAT